AATGTCAGGAATAAATTCCTCCAGAATGAGGCCACACAGCCCAAAAAACCCACAGAAAAGAATGGGAGCCTTGTTCTCACCTTGCAGTAACCATGAATGAAGGCAGCTGCCATCGTTGCTGCGAAAAGAGCTGAAAACCTACAGCAAAAGGTGAATTATTTGAATACAAGTTAAAGAGAGGAATCCCTGAATTGGGTATGGATACTGTGAAGACAGTTTACACACAATTTGGGGTTTTTGCCTTCAAGTCTTTTCCGACTTATGGTGACCCTATCATGGAGTTTTCTTGGCAAGATTTGTTGAGAGGTTAGCCACTGACTTCCCCTGAGGTTGAGAGAGTGTGACCTGCCCAAGGTCACCCAGTGTGTTTCATGGGTCAGCTGGGAATCAGACCCTGGTCTCTAGAGTCATAGCCCAATGCTCAAACCACTATGCCACACTGACTCCTCACTGGGGGTCCTGGGGGCATAAAAACAGCCTTGGGGGTCCATTTCACCCAGCCCCGTGCTATTGAGTACAACTCTCCATCTCCATCTCTCACCTTCCTCTTTCCTGGACCACCTTCCTGCCTCCGGCGTCCATCGGTGGAGCCCATCTGAGGAGCTACTGAAGGAACTGACGGCTGGGGAGGAGGACTGGCTATGTGACCTCAAGGGGGGCTCTTTCAAGCACCTCTCCAGCCCTTGCAGTGGGGCGCTGTTTTGGCCAAGCCCTATGGAAGAAATCAGTGCAAAACATGTATTGCTCTTCGCCACCAGCCATTGCAAATGTCTACTGTCACAGGCATGGACAGAGAGGACTGAAAAGCAGAGATGAAGCTATAGACCAAATGAGAGCATTCATCCCCTAAACAGGAGTTCTGTCCACCAATTAAATTTCCTTCCGTTGCCAAATTTCTAGCATGGCAATGAGACATTCAAAATGATTCTTATCAAGGACTGTTTTTGCTTGCTACATTTCTATCCCCCACATTCCTTTTGCCTACCTCTTTTCTCTGGATGCTTAAACTGTATAGGCTTTGACTTTTTCGGATTTGATTATTCACAATTTGATGAATATGTTCTCTCTGAGAATCTCTAGGACTTCCAGCACAATTCAATGGTCAACTCCTGGTAGTTTAATACACTGGAGGATTTAGAGATTCCTAGAGAGAACACTTCTCTAGGCATTTGTAGGTCCTCCAACATGATACTATGGTCATAGAGTTGTGCTGGAGGACTAGACATTCCTACTCTCAGGAGAAAATAAATAGTGGGGTTTTTTTATTTGCCATTTTCCCACTTTTGCTGTGGTTTTGTCTTGTGCCCCTAACCCCAGTGAATGAGGAAGGCCCACTGTATTCCTAAGTGCTCACTTGAAATTTTAAGTTACTTCAATGCCAGAAATTTGGTGACAAAAGGAAAATTTTACTGAGGGGATGGGACAGAATTTTTATTTAGTGTACAATGCCTTCATTTTTCTTTTCTTTTCTTTCTTGGCTCTGTAGCCACACTTTAGAGACAAAATAAATATACAGTTTGAGTCTCCTCTATCTGAAATGTTGGGGACCAGAAGTGTTTTGGATTTTGAATTTTCCTGAATTTTAGAATATAGTGAGCCTTTGGCATTTGCTGGGGTTTGGTTCCAGGACCTCCCATGGATACCAAAATCTGTGAATGTTCAAGTCCCATTTTTTGTTGTTGTTTTTTGCAACTTCTATATTATTGTTTTGTTACTGTATTCTCTTATTTTTATGCTTGTAACCCACTTTGATTCCCTTTGGAAATAGGTGGGCTAGAAATAAATCATATTATTATTATTACTATTATTATTATTAAATACAATGGATAGTAAAATGGTGACTCTTATATAAAAAGACAAAATCAAGGTTTCTTTATATATATATATTTTGAATATGTTCAAGCCAGGGATGCTTGAATCTGTGGATAAAAAATCTGTGGGTACGGGAAGCTGATTGTACTTATATTTTGCATATATGTACAAAATGAGATCTTTTGGAGATGGGACCCATGTCTAAACACAACATACATTTATGTTTCCTGTGCTCTATAGACATAGCCTGAAGGTAATTTTATAGACAACATTTTAAATAACTTTATGCATGAAACAAAATCTATGTAGACTGAACCATCAGAAAGCAAAGGTATTATTCTCCCAACCACAAATGAATAAAGTTTTGGGTTTTGGAGTATTTTGGATTTTGGAATTCTGGATAAAGGAGACTCAACTTGGAGACCCTGAAGAGATGTCTGTTGGTGATATGATGCCAGGATGACCAAACATGATAACTGCAAAGGAGCATAAGGCTCCACAAAATGCAAGCCATTCAAGAAAAATGTCGGACGTAACTAAATAAAAGCTAAAAACACTCATATAAATGTAAATGCATGCTTCTTAGTCATGCTCAAAATGGAAGTCATTTTGAAATCTCTCTTGGACAGAAGGTTGAAATGTAGGCCATGTTCTAGAAGGGAGGACATCTGATCACCCTATATGAGGATTTATCAGGTCAGAGATAATATATTCTTTCAAGAGAGAATGGCGTAGGGTGGGGAAGGAATCTTATTGTATTATTTTATATTACATTATTTATATCCTGCCTTTCTCCCAATATGGGATTCAAAATGGTGCTTGGCACCAATCCCAAGCTGCCCTACCATCTTCCTTCCTTGTCCACTTCCCACTCTCTGGCATCCATCTTAGGAGTCTGTCTGGAGAGCTGCCAATGGAGGAACTGATGGCTGGAGAAGATGGCTGGCTCAGAGGCGCATTTGGAGGGATCTCCTTCAGACGTTGCTCCAGGCCTTGCAGGGGATTGCCAAATCCTACGGCGAAAGGGGCCCAGAGATAATTATTATATTATATTACAGTATATCCCTTTTTTTGGCCACAGTTGGGACACAAAGTGGCTTACAAATTAAAAAACAATACAATTCACAACACAATACTTAACAATTAACAAACAATAATTAAGGAGCCCTGGTGGTGCAGTGGTTCAATGCCTGTCCTGCAGCCACTCACTCATAGACCACAAGGTTGCGAGTTCAGTACTAGCCAGGGCTCAAGCTAGACTCAGGCCGGCATCCTTCCGCTAAAATGAGTACCCAGCTGTTGGGGGGCAAGGAGCTTACAGTTGTAAACCACTTAGACACTCCATAGCATGGTATAAAGTGGTATATAAATGAAGCTGCTTTGCTTTAATGCAATATAATTAAGATCAACATGAACATGTTGGGCATGGGTCAAATCTCTGAAAAACTCCCAAACACCAGCTTTGAACCCAGTTCACAAAGTGTCTTATCTTGTCTCGGCAGCCAA